GTGTGTGTGTGTGTGTGTGAGAGAGTGTGAGTGTGTGTGTGTGTGTGTGTGAGAGAGTGTGAGTGTGTGTGTGTGTGTGTGTGTGTACCATGGAAGAAATCAAGTTGTACATGTTTGAGCTGAAATCTGGGTGCAAGATAATGAATGTAGGGCAGCAGTGGACGAGCGTCCATGAAAACTTTCCTGCTTCACACAGAAAACAGACCTGCACACATTTATGAACAGTTTTATATTCAAGGGATCAATAGAGGGGTTATATTTGCAGACTCAAAATGAAATCCGTAATATAAACCAGAGATTGTTCATACCTTCTCGTACTTCAAACTAGTATTAATCCACAGGATCGTGGCATGTGTCTGGATTTTCCATGGTCCAGGAGGCATGTTATTCATATTATTCACGTTATTGCCTGCTGCTTTATTTCTGTTGCCAAATGAGCTTAGATCTTTATTCAACAAGAGTGATTTAGTTTGGATTTAAAAAAATCTTAAAAAAAAAAAAAACATACATTTTTGATCTTATTAGTTTCACTATGAGGGGATTTATTTTGGTGTAGCTGGGAGTTTCTTACTGAAACGCTGTTGGGAACACAGCTGTTAATTTTATTTCCCCACACAAGGCCGCACATGCCCCTGACAGCACTCGCTTAATAGCATTATCAGGGATTACATGTTACAAAATAGCACACTTGTTTCCCTGCGTTGATTTGCTTAGTGTGGCATGGGTCAGCCATTGTCTCTGCAGCTCGTATATTTATTTGCAGTACATTTTAGTGCTCTTTTCATGTCAGAAATTAAATATTTCCTCACTACTCCTGCTCTTGGCTTCAAGTAAATACAAGTATTATTCTTGGCTTACACTACTATTTAAAAGTTTGAGGTCGGTAAGATTTTTTTTAACGTTTTTGTAAGTCCCTGATGTCCCACCAAGGCTGCTTTATTTGATCAAAAATAGGGTCAAAACAGTACAATTGTGAAATATTATAACAATTTAAACTACTAACTGTTTTATTATTTGAATGTGTTTTAAAATGTATTTTATGTGTGTGTGTGATGGCAAAAGCTTGGGTGCTCAGGAAACATTTCTTATTATTATCAATGTGGAAACCATGATATGTTTTGTTTTTCAATATTCCCTGATAAGTAGAGAGTTCGAAAGAATAGCATTTATTGAAAATAAATATTTTATAAATGTCTTTTAGCATCACTTTTGATCCATTTAATGGGTCCTTCCTGAATAAAAGTGTTTTTTGTTTTTTTTTAAATATGTATTTGGTCAGAGGCTTAAGATCAATTTGAAAAGTGATTGAGGACGACAAATTCATTTTTTCCAGTTTCAATTCAATTCAGTTTTTTTTTTTTTTTTTTGATGAATGGAAAGTTCAAAAGAACAGCATTGATTTAAAATATATATTTTTATAAATGTATTTTACCATCATTAAAAAAAAATGTAATGTGTCCTTACTGAATAAAAATATTTCTTTTTAAAAAAACAATGGAAAATGTATTTGGTCAGAGGCTTAAGATCAATTTGAAAAGTGATTGAGGACGACAAATTAAAATTCCATTTTTTATAATTTTTTTTTTTTTATGAATAGAAAGTTCAAAAGAATAGCATTTATTTAAAATATATACTTTTTATAAATCTCTTTTATTGCCACTTTTAAACAATTGAATGTGTTTTTACTGAATAAAAGTATTGATCTTTTTCAGAAAAAAAAATTTTTGGTCAGAGGCACAAGATCAATTTGAAAAGTGATTGAAGAAGACAAATTCATTTTCCCAATTCTGTTCATTTTTATTAATTTCTTTATTTTTGAATAAAATTTTTTAGCAATGCGATGCACAGCACAACTGTACTGACCAATGAGCATCCAGGGCCAGCTCTCTATTATAATTAGAATGAGCATAGTTTGAGATGGAGTCAAAGAAAAAGTCTCTCTAGTGTTTTCCTATGAGCAGCGCTTGATCTCATGACCTCAGAGGATGTTCTGATAGGGTCACCTCTGAATCCCTCCTCGTGTAATTTTTATCCTGTTCAAATAAAAGCAAAAAAACCTCTGCAGAGTCTTTGTACAGCTGTCTCCTCGCTCAGCATCCTGGTTGTGTGCTGTTATTCTCAGGCTCTGCTGATCCGAGCCCTGCTGGAGTACTCTCAGTGCGCAGAGGTGAAGCTGCTGTACGGTCTGGCTCTGGTCGGCGGGGTTTTCCTCATGGAGCTGACACGCTCCTGGTCTCTAGCTTTCATGTGGGCTGTCAGCTACCGCACGGCCGCACGCCTCCGGGGAGCCGCGCTCACTTTCGCCTTCCAGAAGATCCTGCGACTGCGCAGCACTAAAGACATCAGCACTGGAGAGGTGAACTGTGTGTTAATACTCCCGTAATAAACACTAAACTATTCATTAGGAACAGAACTTGTGTAAACAAGCTTCGCATTTCGATATGGAGAGATTTACTTGAATGTAAAGGGAAAATAACATCTGAGAGGGTTCATGGGCGAGTTTAAGCCCACTTTTTCATGTGACCTTTTGGCCCTTTAAAATCAGTGTGGGCTTGTGTTTGTGAGGTCTGAGTGCCAGCGCTGATGCGGGTTAAGCGTGCCATGTTTTAGTTTGGCTGACTCATCCTGTTACTCTTTCAGCTGGTAAACATTTGCTCCAGTGATGGACAGCGTCTGTACGAGGCCGTCTCGGTGGGCTGTCTGCTGGCTGGAGGGCCTCTCGTCGGGATTTTGGGTCTGTCATACACCATCTATTTCTTAGGACCGACTGCACTCGTGGGATCGGCCATTTTTGTCATCTTCTACCCCACCATGGTAAGATAAGCACATCTAATCCTTTTGTTAATAAGAGGAATATTTACAGCCTCTACAAAGACCAAGTTCACACTGCTGTTTAGTGGCCCAAATCTTCTTTTTTTCCCCCCTGGCTTGTGCCTTGTGCCGTGGTTTTCTCAAAAGACATTGAATCTGACTTTTCACTTTTGATCTGAGACATGTATGTGGCAATAAATGTGATATTTTGCAATTGTGTTTTGTAATGTGACTTCAGTTTCAAAAGTAATATCAGAATTCATGTGATTTTTAGGACAATTTAAATCATAAATTAATGTGCAATGCGTAAATTGAACTTATTTATGATTTGCATAGAATATTTCATTTTATGTGTGTGTGTGTGTGTGTGTGTGTGCATGAGTGTGTGTGTGTGCATGAGTGTGTGTGTGTGTGTGTGTGAGCAACCCCTGCTTAAACCAGCCTTAACTTGATTTAAAACCAGCCTGACTAGACTGAGAGACCTGGCTAGACCAGACACCAACTTAGGCTGGTTTAAGAGTGTTTTCTTTTCTTTTCTTTTTTTCAGTAAGGAACAGAAGGTATAATATGAGTACTTCTGCATAGTTTTAATACTGGAAATCAAAAGGTCCTTGAAAGTCATGTAATATGATAAAAAAATATGATGTCAGATTCATTTATAGTCCTACTATGAATTATGTTGATGTTATTACAGGGTTTCCGTGGGTCTTAAATTTAGCTGTATCATATTTAAGGCCATATAAAGTCATAAATGGTGGAAGAAAGTCTTAATTATGATTTCAAGAGGTCTTAAATTTAAGGACGGAAAGACAAGAATTGCATACACATTATGGCTTAATGTGACGATTAAACTTCAAAAGGCTGCGCTGCTTTGTGTAGTGCTGTTTTCGGGGAATCCGCTTTAATTCTGCCGTTCTGGCAGAGAATGGATTTGCGTTTTCATTAAGCCCGTCTGCTGTTTTTGTTCAGTGCACTGCGAAAATCTAAATGAAAGATAGCAAGGATTTTTTTCTTCTATCTGTAAGCATAATATTTAGCACAAGCACTTCAAATGAGTTAAACCTGTGTCCTGTTTTCTGAGTAACATTAAGAATATCTCTATATATCGTTGCGACACCGCCGCCACGACCAATCAGACGGGGCTCATGCTTATAACAGTAGCCTGGTGGAGTAGACTCATTTAGACCAAAATAATCATTAGGTTTAAGCCAGGTTTCAGTAAGGCAGAGTATATCAAAACTATTATCTGTGACCATTTTGTTTACAATAACCGCCTTAGTTGTGAGTGGTCTAATGTTTAGGAGCCCAAGCTATAGAAATAATTTTTGTTCACTTAATTTGTGATTCAGATTTTTTTCTAGATCCTATAGTAGATTTATTATTTGACCTCATTATTCGGGGGAACAGACACAGTCTCTATCGGATGGACTACACATGCGATGATTGTGTCAAAATAGAAAATAAGGGAGATAGTTTCATGCATGCAGCAGCAGTTTAGCTGTGATTTGAGACACATTAAAGGAATAGTTTAACCAAAATTGAAAATGTCCTTATTATTTACTCACCCACAGGCCTTCCAAAATGTGTATGACTCTTGTTTGTCAGCAGAAGAGAAATTATGGTTTTCTTCATCTAATGCAAGTGAATAGGACTCACCGTAGACCATTTTTGATGGTCCAAAATCCATATTTAGGCAGCTTCAAAATAATCCACACAACCCCAGATGACAAATAATGGTCTTCTTTAGTGAAACGATCATTCATTTTCAGAAAAAAAAAATTTTTTTGGTAAGACTTTAGATTAGGGATCGCATATTCACTGTCAACTAAGTGTTTTCCCTCAATAAACTCCTAATTTGTTGTTTATTTGTAGTAAGTAAGGTAGTTGTCGTAGTAATTATATTTATATAAGGGATCTAGAATAAGGTCATGTATTAATATGCGCTTTATAGGTACTAATAAACAGCCAGTGTGCTAGTAATATGCATGCTATAAGCAACTAGTTAATAGTGAACTGTGTTCCTAATCTAAGTTGTTACCTAAAATGTATACTTTTAAATACAGATGCCTGCACTAACAGTTTTACTCGGGGGGGTTTCTCTTTGAGACAGGACACACTGTAGCCTTTTGTCTGACTGTACAGGTTGATCTTCACATTTGAATTATTTCCTGCAGATGCTGGCCTCCCGCTTGACAGCATCTTTCCGTAAAAGGTGTGTGTCACCACTCAAACAGCAGCACTGACTCAGCCAAACGGGAAGTGAGCGTATAATGATGGCGACTGAGCGCTTAGATGTCATAGTCTCCATGGAATTCAAAGGATCATCTCTGTGGCTTTGCACTGCATTCAAAGGAACAATCTCAAGTTTCCTAATCCACTGTCTTGGCTCTGTCCTTCCTCAGTCCTCCGTCGCTGAAATGTCCTGAGAGTCCCTGAGCTTCCAGATTAACTTACAAAGCATTTAGCGCTCTTTCTTTCATAATGCCTTTGGACAGTTTGACTTTGTTGAATGTTAAATAAGAACAATTTAGGTGACGTGAATCTATA